TCTCAGCTCATGGTCATAAAGAAACGATGTGTGGCTTTATTGAGAACTTCCAAAAACCGACGAATTTTCCCTTTCCCAATTGATTGCAATTGAAGAAGGATATTTGCAATTAATCACCCAATAAGTACTTGAATAACTTCAGGCTCGTGATTATTTGCCAGGAATTCCTTACAAATTCATGATTTCTAGATGTCACCCAGAAAAATGCAAATTTCGAGAGTATCCTTAAATTTTTATTCGAAAAGACTTTGAAAAAAAAAATTATAAAAAAATTTACGTTCTTTGACCAAGATTGCAAAAATTTCAGATTTTGGGCTGTAGGTCTTCTAAATAAACAAAGCTTCTAAAAATTCAACGATATTTCTTTAGAAGTTCCTTGGCGAATTTCCCTAAAAAATTCAATATTTTTGCTCATGAGGTCCTTGAAAACCATTTCTCTTTCTGGTACCTCCCCCACAAAGGGTCAAAGATTTTAATAACCAAAACGAATATAAAATCCGAAATAAGCATCTGATTCTATTCAAATTACACACACCACAACATTTTTATTTGCCCAAGATTTAGTGTGAAGATGGATATATCGGTCCACTTCTTCTGGTACCTCCCCCACAAAGGGTTAACATTTTGAATAACAAAAATTGCAGATTTTGGTCTTCTAAATAAACAAATCTTCAAAGTCAAAATCTCCTTGACAGATTTCCCAAAAAAAATCAATATTTTTGCTCATGAGGTCCTTGAAAACCATTTCTTAATAATGCACGAACTTTGGGTAAAAGGTTCTTGCACATTTTCGAAGTTGAAAAATGATCTTCAAAAATCCACGAATAATCTTGTGAAAAATATTTTTATGTAATACATGATTTTTGGTTGGGAGGTGCTTGAATGTTTTTATTTTAATCCAGGATTTTTAGTGGAAAACTCTCTGAAAAAAATTCCCTAAAAATGCAAGAAATTTGGTTTTGAGTTCTTGAAATAGCTCCATAAAAAAATTATATTATAAAAAAAATTATAAAAATTACAGAAATTAAAATATCTGCGATCTTTGCTTGAGAGATTCTTGCCACTGGCATCCTTGGAAAAAAATACAATTTTATGAGTTTTGGCCGGGGGGTTTCACAAAATAATTTTTATTGAAAAAAATTACTAAAAAATCGCCAATCGTTAGTAGGTATGTCTAGGTTGGATTTTTGTTTAAAATTCCGAAATTCCTAAAACCCCAATTTTTTTGATGTGAATTCCTTAAAAAATTCCTTTTAAAAACCACTAAGGTCCTTTAAAACTTGTTCTTTATAATAAATCCATGATTTGTGATCAGGAGGTCCTTTAAATCTTAAATCGTTGGTCAAGATGTTTTCTAAAAACATATTTTCAAAGACAAGAGGTCCTTGAAAATTAATATTAATGAAAAATTCACAATTTATGATCCAGGATTCCTTCAAAAATCTAAAAAAGCAATGGCCTTTGGCAAGAAAATCCTTGTGAAAATTTCTTGAAAAAGTAAATAGTCAATAGTTTTTCTTTAAAAAAAATTGGTGCCTCTGGTTTTGAGGTCCTTAAAAATTTCCCAAACTATCTATCATCTTTGGTAGGAAAATATGTGGGAGAATTACTTTGAAATCTAACACTCCATGGTCAGGAAGTTCTTGAAAAATGTTCTTTTACAAATTCCAGAGCTTTGGTCAGAATCTAAAAAAAAATTCTCAAGGAATTTGAAAAGAATACTCAAACAAAACAAAGATTTTCCTTTTTTGAAAAAAAGTATCCTAAAAGTTGATAAGGAGGCCTCTGAAAAATTGTATATTAAAATAAGTGATTTTTGGTCAGGAGGTCCTTAAAAAAATCCCAAAAAAATCTACTATCGTTGATTAGAAAATTCTTGAAAAAATCCCTCAGAAAACCAACAATACATGAAGGTCATTAAATAATGTTCTTTAACAAATATCAGATCTCTAATCAGCAGATCCCTGAAAAAATCGTTAATAATCCACGATCAGTATTCGGGAGGTCCTTGAAAAATTCTTAAAGAAATCCACAATCTTTGGTCGGGATTCACTGGAAAAAAATCCCAAAAATTGCTGAGGAGTTCTTTGTAAAAACTCCTAAGAAATCCGAGACTTTTTGGTAAAGTCTTAAACTAAAAATTTTCAAAAAAAAGTATTACTTTTTTCAGAAGGTCCCACGATAATCTCCTAAAAATAAAAATGGTCAGAGGACCTTGAGCAAAAATTTTTATAAATTATTTGCGACCATTGGTGGCAGAGGCCCTTAAAAATGTTAAAAAATCCTTAGACATAGGTCAGTCGTTCCATTAAAAAAAATTGTAAAAGCCCCGATCTTTGGTTATCAGACCCTTACAACACTCCTCTAAACATATGGTCATCAGTTCGAAGGTCCTTAAAAAAAATCTTCACAAAACTATTGGATGCCCCCAACAATTCCATGTTATTTAGTCAGGAGATCCTTGAAAAAATCTATCAGAAGGTGCTACGATAATTTCCTAAAAATCTACTATTTTTGGTCAGAAGGATCTTGAGAACAAATATTTATAAATAATTTGCGACAATTGGTTGTAAAGGTCCTTAAAAAATGTTAAATAAACAGTGGTAGGTCAGTCGTTTCGTTAAAAAAAAAAAAACAATTGTAAAAGCGTACGATCTTTGGTTATCAGACCATTAAGACAATCCATCATCAGTTAGAAGGTCATTGAAAAAAATCTTCACAAAACTATTGGATGTCCCAAACAATTCCATGTTATTTTGTCAGGAGGTCCTTGAAAATTTTTCAAACAAAACAAAATTATCCTAAAAAAATGCTAAGGAGTTCTTTTGAAAAACTCTTAAGAAATCCGAGACTTTTTGGTAATCTATATAAAAATTCCTCAACTACTACTTTTTTTGTCAGAAGGTCCTACGATAATTTCTCTAAAAATCCACGATTTTTGGTCAGAAGAAAGAAGTTTATAAAAAAAACGCTACCATTGGCGGTAAAAGTAATTAAAAAATGTTAAAAATTCCATTCGTAGGTTAGTCGTTCCATTAAAAAAAATATTGTATAAGTCCACGAGCGTTGGTTATCAGACCCTTAGTTAAAGGGTCCTTAAAAAATCTTCACAAAATTATTGGATGTCCCTAAAAAATAGTCTTGAAAAATTAATGATCTTTTTCAGGGAATCCTTTCTTAAAACTTCTGTGTTATTTAGTCAGGTGAGGCAATCAAAAAAAAAAAAAAAAAATCTTAAACATATCTAAATTCTCAAATAAATCATAATTTTTTTGTTAGTAGGCCATTGGGGATCTTAAAAAAAATCTAAGATAATTAGGAGGTTCTTTGACATAGTCTATAAAAATTTAAGTTTTTGTTCACATTTAGAAGGTGCTTGAAATATTTTCTTATATAATCCTCGTTAAAAATAAATGAAAAGCTGTAAGTTCGACCGGGCCGAACTTGGAATATCTTCCATCATTTGGAAAGAATTTGGAAATTTAAAAAAAAAAAAAAAATAAATAAATAAAAATAAATGCATAAAAAATAGAACTCGTATAGGGAGTTACCGTTTTTTTTTTTTGGGTCTATGCAAAGACGTGGACCTGCAGATTTTCTGTCTTAGGATGTAGTGTCCATTACGAACTTCAAATACCAAATTTGAAATAATTCCGGTGAATAATGTCGCTAAAATCACCAAAATACCGAATATCGGGAGGTACCGTAATATGGTGACTATACGAAGACCTGAACCTGCATAGACAAATTTCTGTCATAGACTTTAGTTCCCATTACCAGCTCTTAATACAAAATTTGAAACAATTTCGATGAATCATGTGGCTAAAAATATCAAAATACCGAATATCGGCTGGCGCCGTTATATGGAGGCTATACAAAGACGTGAACCTGGACAGACAATTTTCTGTCATAGGCTGTAGTAGCCATTACGAACTGTAAATACCAAATTTGAAACAATTCCGTTGAAAAATGTAGCTAAAATCATCAAAATACCGAATATCGGAGGTACCGTTATATGGGGGCTATACGAAGACGTGGACCTATATAGACAATTTGTTGTCATAGGCTGTAGTATCTATTAAGAACTTCAAATACCAATTTTGCAACAATTCCGGTGAATAATGTCGCTAAAATCATCAAAATACCGAATATCGGGAGGTACAGTTATATGGGGCTATACGATGTCGTGGACCTATATAGACATTTCTCTTCCAGGGGGCTTAGAAATAACTTCTAGTATGGATTTTTAGACGATTCCATTGAAAAATGTAGCTAAAATCATCAACGTACCGAATATCGGGAGATACCGTTGTATATGGGCTATACGATTTCGCGGACCTATATAGACAATTCTCTTCCAGTGGGTAAAGTATTCCTAAAGAATTCTTTGTGTAAAAGTTATGATAATTCCATTGAAAAATGTGGCTACAATCATCAATATACCGTAAATTGGGGGGACGGTTGTGTGGAGGCTATACGAAATCGTGGACCTATATAGACCATTCTCTTGCAGGAGGTAAAGTACTCAGAAGGAACTCCTTTTATAGATTTTCAGACAATTTCATTGAAAAATTTGGATGCAATCATGAAGCTATTTTCCAACTAAGAGACATAGGGAGAGGCAATAAATTGCTCTCATTATTTGGGGGGACATTTCTCTCAGAGAGAAATTTCTTCAAAAGGAGAGTTAGATCTGTGTTTTTAAAACGGGGATTACATTATTTTCGTATTTTAAATAGATAAAAATAGATTTATATTTAATAATTCCCACCAAAATCTGGTTTAAAAACAATAATTATTTTATTTTCTTTTTTCCCCTTTCTGTAAAGCTCACATCGTTTTCGTCTCTCATTGCAAGAGTAGACCACACCCAAAGAACATTTTTTTCTCAGCCATTATTTTATGCGTGCATTTGTCTTGCCAGCTATTTGTAATTATTGCATTACATAATCGGTGATTTTTATTTCATTTAAAATCTTTTATTTATATAAAAAGCCCACCTTTGTAATTTTTAACTTTATATCCTTTTTTGTTAGTTTGGCAGTGAGAGTAGGTGAGAAATTTTTATTATTTTTTTTCTTTAGAAAAATTTTTCCGACTTTTTTTTGTTTTTAATTAATTCGTTAATCGTGATTTTCGTAACACCATTATTATTAGCACATTGAATTCAAAACACTATTTTGAAGTATTTATTTTTCTTCTTCTTCTTCGTTAATATCGAAGTCAAATTAGGGCAGCACCTGTGTGTGTGCCTCCTTGGAAAACAGGAGGTGCTTTTTTGCAAATTTTTCTTTGTTTTTTCAATTATTTGTCTAGTTTTTCGATCCGTAATTAGCTAGCCATAGGTTTAAATGCTTTTAAAGTCTCTTCGAAACTAAATTGGCAAAGAAGCTCCAATGTTTTTGCTCACCACGAATGGTGGTGATAATTACATATTTGTCTGTGTGAGTGTGTGGGACCCATGAAAACCTAGAAATTCCAAGTTTTATCGGTTCCATTGGCTCTCCATGCAAAATGGCAATAGCAAGTCAAGAAAACAACGGACGTTTTGTAATTTTTTCGTTCAATTGGTAGTTTGCCGCGTTTAACGCATTTTTAGCCCGGGTTTTCTCCAGACCCCCTCCCCCGCCCTTAAACGCTTGACAGAATTTGCTTTCTGTTTTCATTTTCCACAACTTTGTTTTGTTTGGCATTGTTTTAGCATTTCCATGTGTGCCCGCTCTTTTTTCGTAAGGGCTTGTCGTAATTCGCCATTTTACACCCTCTGCTATTAGCATTTCGCTTTCTTCTCCTCCATTCTTTGTGTGCTCTTTTGTGGCCGACCGTGTTGACTGACACTGCCGCTGCTGCTGCTGCATCATTATGATTCGGGTGGGAAATGAGACTTCCGCCTTTTTCTGGCCAGTTAGCAGAGTTTAGTTACAGTTTGCTTCTTACCGTTTTAAGCCGCTTACATTCAGGCTTGTAGTCATGTCAACAGAAAGCCAATCCGTCAGTCAGTCAGCCAGGCATTCATTCATTCATGCATTCAAACACAGCATTCTATTTGATAGCCATTCATTAGCTATTGCCGGAGTTGTTTCACTCTTTGTTTTCCCCGGCGCTAAAGCACTTGTGATCCTTGTGCGGGGGAGGGGGTGGCGGAAGGGGTGAAAGTTGAATGTCAATATGCCATCAGAGAGGGCAAACAGCTTAAACGATTCATAAATGTTGAGCTGTGAACGGAGAGCCGGAAAAGCTATTGGGTTACATTGATTATGGGGCAACATAGATTTGAAGTTCTTTCTATGGAAATTCCGATTTAGCCAGGATGAATTGAAAATTTTTTAACGAATACCTAGTTCCCAGCTAGGCTGCCTTGATAATTTTCCAAGAAAATTCCCAAAAAAGGCAATGTTTATAACCTCCAGCAGACACAGTATGGAGGTTATATTAGTGTATATATATACAGGGTGAGATAAAAAATCTGCAACAAAGACAAACACCATAATTTTTACATTTTTTTATTATTATTTTATTTTTTTTAAATTGAATGAAAGCTAAGAAATGTCGGAAATAGGATCAAATTTTGGAATAAGTTTAGATTTCATGAACTGTTTTCTTTAGAAAAAACTTGGACCATGGTCCTGCAATTTTTTTTTTTTTTATAGAAAAACTTGAAGTCCTCCGATTTTTTTAATTAAAAAACCGTGACGAATTTTTTTCTAAAGAAAAAAACTTGGACCTGATATCCTGTGACGAATTTTTTTTCATCGATAAAAACATGGACCTGGTTTGCTTCACGAATTTTTTATATAGAAAAAAATGTGGACCTGGGTTCCTTCTCGAATTTGTTCTTATAGAAAAAACTTCAGCCTGGGATCCTGCAACCAATATTTTCTAAAGAAATAAATATGGATCTGGGGTGCAACGACAAATTTTCTTCTAAACAAAAATTTTGGACCTGGGGTGCATCGAATTTTTTCTGTAGAAAAAAATGTGGACCTGGGGTCCTGCCGCGATCTTTTTCCATAGAAAAAATTTTTGCGAATCGAAAAAAAAACAATTTTTTCAATGGAAAAATAAAATGGACCTCAACAAATTGTTTTTTAACGAAAAAAAATTGAGCTGGGGTGTTCCGACAAATAGTTTCCTGTAGAAAAAAAATTGGAGCTGGGAGGTTCTTTTACGAATTTTTTCAAATGAAAAAAATATGGTCCTGGGGTCCTCCATGATTTTTTTCACACCATCACCATGGCCGGCGCAGTAAGAATTCTGGTGGCCAACCTAGCAGTCTTTTGTCTGCAGGCAGGTCAAAGTCGAAGATATCGTGTAGGCCCTATTTAACTGAATCCCCCCGGTACCTCCCTATATCCGGTATTTTGATGATTGTAGCCAAATCTTTCCATGAAAATGTCTGAAAATCCACACAAGGAGTTCCTTCTGAGTACTTTACCCCCTGGAAGAGTATTGTCTATATAGGTCCACAATATCGTATAGCCTCCATATAACGGTACCTCCCCGAAATTCGGTATTTTGTTGATTGTAGCCAAATTTTCATGAAATTTTCTAAGAATCCACAAAAGTAGTTCTTTCTGAGAATTTTACCCCCTGGAAGAATAATTCCTACATAGGTCCACGATATATTATAGCCCCCATATAACGGTACCTCCCCGATATTCGGTATTTTGATGATTTTGGGTACAATATTCACCGACATTGTTTGAAATTTCGTATTTGAAGTTCCAAGTAGGTACCACGGCCTGTGATAGAAAATTGTCTATGCAGGTCGATATAGGCCCATATATCAGTACCTCCCAATATTCGGTATTTTGATGATTTTAGCGACATTATTGAAGTTCTAAATAGGTACCACAGCCTGTGATAGAAAATTGTCTATGCAGGTCCAGGTCTTCGTATAGGCCCCATTTATCAGTACCTCCCAATATTCGATATTTTGGTGATTTTAGGTACCATATTCACCGAAATTATTTGAAATTTCGTATTTTAATTTCCTAATAGGTACCACAGGCTGTGACAAAAATTGTCTCTGCAGGTGTTGGTCTTCGTGTAGACTCCATATATCAGAACCTCCCAATATTCGGAATTTTTGATGATTATAGGTACAATATTTACCGAAACTGTTCGAAATTTCATATTTGAAGGTCCTAACAGGTAGTACAGTCTGTGACAGAAAATTGTCCATGTAGGTCCAGGTCTTCGTATGGGCCCCACATATCAGTACCTCCCTATATTCGGTATTTTGATGATTTTAGCGACATTATTCACCGAAATCGTTATTCACCGAAATCGTTTCGTATTTGAAGTTTCTAATAGATACTACAGTCTGTGACAGAAATTTGTCTATGCAGGTCTAGGTTTTCGTATAGCCCCCGTACAACAGTACCCCCCATATTCGATATTTTGATGATTTTAGTGACATTATTCACCTGAGTCACTTTAAATTCCGTATTTTAGGTTTCTAATAGGTACTACACCCTGTGACAGAAAATTGTCTATGCAGGTCCAGGTCTTCGTATAGGCGCCTAAATATCAGTACCTCCCTATATTCGGTATTTTGATGATTTTACCTGCATTATTCATAGGATTTCTTTCAAGTTTTCGTATTTCAATATTGTAATTGCTTATGACAAAAAAGTTGCCTAGGCAGGTCCGGGTCTTCGTACAGACCCCAATATAACACCTATATTCGGTATTTTTAAGATTTTAATAGAATTTTTAATGAATTTTATATTTTCTGAAAATTTCCAAATTCGTTCCAAAAATAGGGCCGAATTTACTGCATTTTTACTTCTTAAAATTTTATTTAATTTAATTTTTTCTTTGTGTGTATGTGTGTGTGTGTTTGCTTTCATTTTCAAAATGAAAAAAAATAATGCCATTTCGAATGAAAGATATTACATTTCAAAATATTTCATTTTGCGGTCCGCCAGGGTTATTGCATTTTTTATTAATAACAACAGAATGCAATTTAATTTCGGCAATTGTTATATTTCGTGCAAAACAGCCCTTTACTTCGCCTCTGACAGGGGAAGCACATAATATTTTTTGGTTGCAGAGCGCGAGTACTTCATTCATTTCCGTTGGCGCCATAATTCAACGCAACGACAAAGTAAATGAAATCGCGAACAGATTCATTTTCATTGTTGAAAAAAATATATATTTTTGCATGGTCAAATTTTTGTGGGAAAGAGAGAGATGGTGAGAGAGAGGAATGGAGGCAGGGGAGATGGTTTATATTTCAAATTTTTAATTATTCGCACAGTGGGGTATTTTGAAAAAAGATTGGATTAACGTGGGATATTGAAATTTCCTATATAGAAGAACTTTTAGAATTGCAAAAATGGGTTTTTGGAAATTCAAATTTAAAGTGTACAAAAAGTACCAAAAAGGTAAACATTTGGTACAACTTCGCTTTTTTTTTACCTTAAAAAGTTAAATTCTTAAAATTTAATATGGAAATTAAAGTTGGCAGGTATGTCTGATATAAGAAAGCGGTTTTGAAAAAAAAAACGTACTTAAGTGTACCAATCAAGCCAAATGATACCAAATGGTGGTACAATATTGTTTTAGGTGAGTGGAGAAAGAAGGAATGTTGAAATTTCCCATATGGGGGTCCGTCTGGAAATGCGTAAATGCTATTTCAGAAAACTCGAAATTTAGAGTGTACAGTACGTACAAAAAACGGCACTAATTTGGTACCATGATATACGTTTTTGAAAGGATAGCGCTAAAATCTTAAAATTGTATATCTTCAATTCAGTCCAACTGAGTAAGGGGTTCGATTGGTAGTCATCAATTCAATAACATCCCCATTTCCAAAAAAAAAAAAAAAAAAAAAAATAAAAAATAAAATAAAGAAAAAAAAAATAAAAATTAAAAAAAATATTTCTTGTTACATTTTAAAAAAATGTGTTAATCCCTGCAGATTAAGGGTTTTAAAAAATTAAGACAAAATTTTAAAAAACTTAAAAAAAATGTAAAAAAATTATTTTTAATTTAAAAAGAAATAAAAAACATTTTTAATTCAAAAAAAAAAGATTAAAATGTTTAAAAAATTAGAATTTTTTTAAATCTCTGCAAAAAAAAACTTTTAAATTCATTGGAAATTTTAAAAGTAGCCCAGCTAAACTTGGTTTTCTATAGGAAATTTTCACCTCTCTGAATAGGAGCTAATTTCGAAAAATTTTTATTTAGCTCAACCGAAAAGTGTCTCCACAGAATATTTCCATTACTGCTCAGGGTATCAGAACTAGGGTTTATATAGAAAACATTTTTTTTTCTCGATTCAAAAAATCGTTATTTAAGCACAACCGGATTAGGGGTTTAGAAAACCA